AGGTGTAACGATAGGGTTGTCCCTATTGAGTTCACTACTACGTGCAGATAACGTTCGGATACGATCAACACGATTGCTACGACTGATCTAAATATATGATACGACCTGATAGGATCACCACGATTACTCCACGATTAAAACCACGATTTCAATCGTAGCACGAATCGTGCTAGTGAGAAGCTAAAATTAACGATTGTGCGTTAAAGTAGCTAAGTCTCTAACTTAATGTCATCCAACGTCGTCGACATTGGTAGGCCTACACGTTTCCGCGTCATTTGTGACACGGGGCTCAAAGAACGAAGCTAGTCATATTCCACAAGTCGTGTCAACTGGTGGCGTCATATTCTTATCTTGACAGCACGCGCAAAAACTACTATCGGTGTAGATTAGAATAACCAGATGCTAGAGATTGCCATTCGATTGAGACTTCTGGCGTATTTCGCCGAACATAAATGATTTGAAATTAGAGTAAAAATGGAAATGATCGAATGTAAATCAGTTTATATACATTCATGTTACATTATTATATGGGTTTCGACCCATTTGTGTCAATTTCTAGATCCTAAATATTATAGCGATTTAGCATTGGCCGAGACAGTTCATCCCGATTTTCCGGCGTGGTCCCCCTTGTCAGTGATGCAGGACGGAGGGCCTGACAAGGGCAACTGTCTAGTCGTTCGGATGGAACGAAAAACCGAAGTCCCGTGTACACATTGGCCTGCACGTAAAAAATCCCCTGACAGTTGGAATTCGATGTAAAAGTAGGCCATAGTGCCGCTGTCCGGGCAAAATTTCCCTTAGAGCACACTGTATGGCGTATGCCCGTCTTCATTAGCCCAGTTCGGAGCAGAACAGTAGGACGTTAAACCCCATTTCATTTCATTTCATATTAGCTCCTTTAAGATTGAGTTAAAGGAAGCAGGCAATATATCGAGACAGCTGAAGTTGTGAGATCAATAGACAACAACACAACAGTTAGTGTTTCATGTGTAAGTGAGTGGCCTATAAACCTAGATATTTCACACGAACACGATCTTACCTATTGGCTACTTGAAATGAGGTTAAAGAAACATAGCATCCATCAGGTCGAAAATAAACCTCTTAATATTATTTCATCAATAAATTATATCCTTTGACGTGACGTTAAATATCCATAAAAACGACAAGCCATTGAAAAACAGATAACTAATTGTAAAAACTGTGGAAATGAATTAAAATGACGAGGGCCAGCCACGAGAGAATTTTACCTGGAAAGCGGAGTTTCCTTCCAAACGACTTGTCGCTGTATCTAATCAAGCCCTCCCCCCCTCCGAGTAACTTCCACGGATAACACCGGGATCGAATCCGGGACCACCCGGTTAGTGAGCTAGTGCTGATCAATGCACATCTTGTATAAGTGAGTAAGGCGCTGACTCGCTAGCCTAGGGGTTGCGATGAACTTTCTCGACCAATGCAAGGATCGAACACGGGACCTCTAGACTAGTCCCCGTGATTACGGGTCTAAAAGCACACATTAATGAGATATGATTGTATATAAAGTGATTTATATATATATTTTTTTAAAATTTTCCTTGGTGATTTCCAACCAATAATGTTCGATGAAATACACAAATGGCTGTCGTATTATTCACGGGGAAAAAACAAAAATCACATGAATCAAATTCAGCGCTTTATTTGGTTTAGTATGGTGGCTGATTGGTATCATGTCGTGATGTCGACCTTCATCAGGCGACAACCTGACATCACGACATTTTAACCCGACATCAAGGCAACCCGACAAGCCGAAATCACGACATTTTAACCCGACAATACGACATTTTTAATGTTGTGGTGTCGGGTAAGAATGTCGTATTGTCGGGTTAAAATGTCGCGAAGGTCGACATCACGACATCACGACATCCACCCTCGGTATCCCCAGTTATCGCATTCCGTTCCACACCACTATACGCTGGGTTCATCCATCGGGGAGACATGATTGTATTCAATTTATCTGCCCTTGATGGTAGTGCTGTATTTATCGACTCGACCATTACGTTTGATAGCATAATGATTCGGCACTGCCTGTTTTGACTGACATAAAAACACCTTTCCCATCAAAAGCATGTCGTAGGACATTTTTTTCTGTGCATTCCATTTCTTTTATATTAAATTCCTTGCAAACTTTCTCATAATCGAGCGATCAAACCGCCATATTGTTGTGAAAGATAACACTGAGGCTAAACCGCGTGTGTAAACTGTATTTTGATTGGTTCGTAGAATCAAGCTACGATCAAGGACAGATAATTTGAATACGTGAATATCCCAAGGGTGAACCCAGGGGTTAGTGGAGTAGAACGGAATAAGACCGTTGTCCGAGCGGATGTCCCTCATAGAACACTTTGTCTTCATTATCCCAGTCAGTGCAGAAAAGTAGGACGTTGAACCGCGTTTCATTTAATTGATCTGGAATTATGTCGAGTCGTCCTAAACCTGTAAGTGTTTCTTGCTAAAGACGTTTTTTGTTTTTATCCACGTGTATAGATTAGCTAACAGTGCAACATACATGTATAATTGTACACAAGAATTAAAGTTATTCTTCAAATTGGTTCTAAAACTATTTGACATTAAGAAAATTGGATTATTTTTTCAGTGCAAAATAAAATTGTACACAAAAATTAAAGGTATTCTTGAAATTGGTTCTAAATCTTTTAAATTTGACATTAAGAAAATTGGATTATTTTTTATCGATAGCTTTATCTAAACAATTGTAAAGTGTCGGCGGAACCAGATTTAGATACGTCAATTATATCAAAACGAAGAAGATCATTTCAAGTAACATTTGACATGAAGAAATAAAGTTAATGGCGTTTATTTTTAATAGTTCTAATTAAGTTGTCTGGACTATAACCTAAAAATGCACCGAACCACTTTATTGTTTGAAGGAGCTGATTGGTATTATGTCGTGCATTTTCCGTATGCCCGTCTTCATTAGACAAGTTCGGAGCAAAACAGTAGGACGTTAAACCTCGTTACATTTCTTTTCATTTATTATACCTTGGTATCTATGGAAAGAGCTAATATAGGTTTCAAGCCTTTTGCTCAATCCCATTCATTTATAGATACAATATTGTTAAAATCTAAAACACGCACGAGTTACCATCCCCCACCCACCCCTTCAATAGATATAAGAAATGAAATGAAATGGCCTTTAACGTTCTGCTTACTGCACCGACTAATAAAGACGCCATACAGTGTGCTATGAGGGTAACTTTGCCCGGACAGCGGCACTACGCCCTACTCTTATATAGAATTCCAACTGTCAAGGGATCTTTTACGTGCACGTCAATGTGTACACGCGACCTCGGTTTTTCGTCCCATCCGAACGAGTAGACAGCTGTTCTTGTCAGGCTCTCCGTCCTGCATCACTGGCATGGAAGAACCACGCCGGAAAATCTGGATGAACTTTCTCGGGCAATGCAGGGATCGAACCCCCCGACCTCCAGCCTAGGGAGCAAGCTTCTTACCCACTTAGCCACTGGATCCCCCCCCCCCTCAATAGATTTAAGAATTTAAAATACTATGTATAAAAATAAGTACATTTAGTTCGTCTCATCCCGTGATTTAAACGGACAACCTTGTATTCTAATAGACAAAAACACAGCAATCAGTTTCGTAGATTGTTAATTGTTAATTATTGGCTTGTCAATTAGCTGTCTATTATACAGACGTTAAACACGCCAAAACAAACAAACAGGAAGCCGTAAAAATCCAGTTTTTATTCCAAGAAATTCTAGTTTCAGACATGCCTTACATATCTTCCTCAATGGTTTATCTCGTGTTTAAAGCACGAGTCTCGCGACTCTTGCAACAACAAACGTTCCATAAAGCTCTGTACACACTGCCAACATTTTCGGTAACATTTTCGGAAACATCTCGGAAATACACCCGGGCAACAAAAAACTGACCCTTTATACACACGGCAACAGTTCGACAACATTTTAGGCAACTTAACAACCATTCCTTGCTGATAGCTGCCATTTTGTCTACATCCAGATAGATCATGTGATTTATGCCCCATTTCTAATTGGATAAAGAGAGAGAGAGAGAGACATGGGGTTTAACGTCCACTCGACACAAATTAGGTCATTTCGGGACAAACACATGGTTCAATTTTATTTCAATCATTCGCTTGCGCTTAGTGATCTTTAGCAGTGGGAGAACCCGGAGAAAACCCACGAGGTTGGACAGGCGACGCTACTCCTTGTCACGTACAACCGGGGAATCGAAACCTCGCCAGTTGACTCAATGACAGACCGTATGATACAGAGCGCGCGCGCTAACCATTCGGCCATCCAACCCCCCTGACTGGATAAAACTCGGCAACATCATTAGTATCTCGACAACAAATTTGATCTTGTTTTTATTTCGGCAACAACATGTTGCCGAATGTTACCGAATGTTTCCGAACTGTACACACTATCAACTTTATCATCAACATCGCACCTGGTCAACATGTTACTCAATATGTTGCCGAAAATGTTGGCAGTGTGTACAGAGCTTAAAGCACGATTCACACGACTCTTGTTGAAGCAACAAACGTTCAGTTATCTGACTTGTCAAATTGTTGATGGCAAGCATTCTGCATGTAGTAATATATTTAAAGCTTTTATTTTACACACACCAACTGGTATTGCTCTGGGTGTCTTGTACCACACGCATAAGAAAACAAAGATTGCAAAATATACATACCTGCAACACAAACAATACTAAGAACCTAGTCAGTCAGTAAACTGCGTGTTTCAAATTCATTTTTTTAAAGACATATTTTATTCACTATAAATGATTGGGGAACAGTTAAAATGCTCGTGACAGACCCCTGTTTCAAATTCATTGCACAATTAAAGGAGCCAGGGCTGGATTAAAACCCACAGCATCTTCAATAGAAGGCTTAGAAAAACAACTCCCCGCAGAAAACTAAAATAATATAATATTTATTTAATAAGGTTTATTTATCATTTCAGCTTTAGTTGTTCGTTTTTTAACGAGAAGATTCATCTGGGAATATGATCCCACTCTTGGTAAGTACACTATCAAGTGGTTGCGGTGCAACGGGGTGAGGGGGTACGTACATTATCCACAGCTAGACACAGCAGGGAGTTGGGGGGGGGGGGGGTGAAACTAAACACAACAGGGAGTTGTGGAAGGGTGCAAGTAGACACAACAAGGTGTTGTATAGGGGTGCAACTAGATACAGCGGAGAGTTGTGGAGGGGTGCAACGGGGTGATTTGGTACGCACATTATCCACAACTAGTAAAGGGGTACGTACATTATCCACAACTAGACAAATGAAATGAAATGAAATGGAGTTTAACGTCCTACTGTTCTGCTCCGAACTGGGCTAATGAAGACGGTCATACGCCATACAGTGTGCTATGAGGGAAATTTGGCCCGGACAGCTGCACTACGGCCTACTCTTATATCGAATTCCAACTGTCAAGGGATCTTTTACGTGCACGCCAATATGTAAACGGGACCTCGGGTTTTCGTCCCATCCGAACGACTAGACAGATGTCCTTGTCAGGCCCTCCGTCCTGCATCACTGACAAGGGGGAAACCAAGCCGGAAAGTCTGGATGAACTTTCTCGGCCAATGCAGGGATCGAACACCGGACATCCAGGCTAGCGAGCCAGCGTCTTACCCATTTAGCCACGTGATCCCCGCACGACGTAGGAGCTGGTCTAGTCGTTCGGATGGGACGAAGAACGAGGTCCCCTGTACACGTTGTCGTGCCGTAAAAGCGCCCCTGATAGCACACCACATGGGGTGTTTGGGTGGCTAAGTGGTATAGTGTTGCGCGTCGAGCTCTAACTGGCCGGTCACCTCTGGTGTGAGCGTATGTGTCTTCGTGGGTTTACTCCGGGTACTCCAGTTTCCTCCCACAGGAAAGACCCCTGCGATATCACCATCTGTTGAAAAGGACGTTAAACACTAATAGTAGAAAAAGAAGACACTACATGGCGCATGTCCATCTTCATTATCCCAGTTGGTGCATAAAACCAGGATGTTAAACCCCATTTCAATTTATTTCTGATACTATTCCTTTCCTAGTTACTTTAGTAACGTAAATTGTCGAAGGCGTAAATTGTATCGGCTCTGCCTTCTACTACGTTACAAATTTAGGAATGGAATTTTACCGTAAACGAAAAATCTCGCTGTACATGAGAATAACACATAGAATATTTAAAATATTTTATAAGGGTCAATATAATATGTTGTTCTATTTTAAAGATTTTATGTAATAATTATTCATGTATGTTGAATAAAATAAACTTTAGTGACCATGTACAGCACGAATTTTCGTTTACGGTAAAATTTCATTCCTAAGTTTGGATTATTGGCTGAGCGTTAGTTTGAAAATGACGGCCCAATTCAAATGAAAGTTGTTTATGTTTTTGTATCGCACAATTCTACACGAAAATAGAGTTGGATTTTCATAAATTTGTGTCGGATGTGGCAAGAAATGGTTCCTTTTAGCGACCAAAGAAGAATCACGGTGTTAAAATAGACGGTAAGGATTCCAAAAATGCCTTAGAACCGAGATGGGGAAAAGCCTTATTTGCATACTAGTTGTCATTAGCAACTGACAGTAACGTAGTAGAAGGCAGAGCCGATACAATTTACGCCTTCTACAATTTACGTTACTAAAGTAACTATCCCTTTCCCAATAAAATGTTCAGTTCTTGAATCGTTTAATGTTGAAATTACAACATTTATATGAGTAATACTTGTATTTATTTTAGAATGTTCCTATAAACACACTACGAATATTGACGAGGAACCAGTTGTCATGGAGATACTGGACACGGCTGGACAGGTAATATTTTGATTATAACAAACAGGAACATAGTGGACCAATTAGCCTTCTGTAGCATAAGCAGCATTCCTTGTTTTCCTATATTCTTGTCACTAAACCCCTTCCACAACTATACGTTGTAAGAGTTGGTGTGGGGGTGGGGGTGGCGAATAGTTTTGTGGAGCTTTGTCCATATGTATGTCACTAAATCCCTTTACGACTATAATTTGTAAGCGTGGGGTGGGTGGTCGAATGGTTAACGCATGAACTTGTTTTATTAGGTCTGTCATTGAGTCAAGTGGCGTGGTTTCTATTCCCCGCTTGTGCATGACAAGAAGTAGGACCGTCTGTCGAACCTGGAGGGTTTTCTTCGGGTCCTCCGGTTTCCTCCCACTGCAAGCGAATTATTAAAATAAAATTGAACCATATGTTAGTCCCGAAATGACCTAGTTATGTACAACGGGCGTTGAAACCAATTGTATTCCCCCATCTTCTACAGTTGGTGTAGAGTTCAATTTACTGAGAAGGACATACAGCGAGCTGATTCTATATTGTTATAAACACATGGTCATATATTGTCGACATCTATGTCTGTCGGTCTGTCTGTCGCCTCCCCAACTCTACCACCTCCCCATCTTTCGTCCAAATTATACGTTTGTTTTATTTCAGGAGGAGAATATAAACAGAGAAGGCTACGTCAAGTGGGCAGACGGCTTTATTCTTGTCTATTCCATTACAGACAGACAAAGTTTCGAAGACGTCGTCAACGTCAAACAATACTTAGATGACGTCAAGAAAACGAACGTGCAGTGTGTGCTCGTGGGGAATAAAGTCGATCTATTACACGAGAGAAAAGTAGATTTTTGTGAGGGTGAAATGGCCGCCCAGGATATGGCGTGCGCGTTCTTTGAGACGTCCGTCAGTGATGGACGGGAAGATATAACTGAAATATTCCATGAACTACATCGTGACATCAAGCGGAGGAAAATGATGGAGAATAAAGGCAGACGTCGTAGTTCGGCACAACAGGTCCGTCACGTGTTCAATCGAATGTTAAATAAAATAGGCAATGGAACTTGATGAATGGATTGACGCACGTGCAGACATTAATATAGTTATCAATATTTAAAAAAAAAGACCTGATAATTATGACTATATATTCAAACTGTGGACGCCATTAAAGTGACGTAGACATGCTGAAAGCAGTAAAAGCGAGGTGAAATTGAACTCCAAACGATCACCAATTTAATCTGATGTGAATTCACTATTGGAGTTGTTTCCCTTTGGATAATGATTGTTCAACAACGAATACTGTGTATATAAGGGGATGTAACGTTTTATGTCTAAAACTTTTAATGTTTTAATATTTTCAATGTAAAGGAATTGTTATGAATGAACAATATCATGATCTTGAAAATGCAATTAAATATTTTATTATTTTTAAAGGAAATGTGATGAATGAACAATATCATGATCTGAAAATACAATTGAATTTTTTAATATTTTTAAAGGAAATGTTGTGAATGAACAACGTCATGGTTTGAAGTACACCAACATGTTTTAATATTTTTAAAGAAAATGTTATGAATGAACAAAGTCATGATTTGAAGTAAACGTACATGTTTTAATATTTTTAAAGGGGCTGTTATGAATGGAAATGTCATGATCTGAAAGTACGTGTTTCAATATTTTTAATTTAACACTGTCAAAAAGATTGTGTTATGAATGAACAACGTCATGATCTGAAAGTACATGTTTCAATTTATTAATGTAACGCTGTCAAAAAGACTGTTATGAATGAATATACAGGTTTTGTTATTTACGTTCATATAAAACTAAATGAAGAATGGTATTTGTCTCCAGAATATTCGGGGTGGAGGTCTGGTGGTTTAACGGGTGCGCATGGAAATGAAATTGGGTTTAACGTCCTACTGTTTTTCTCCGAACTGGGCTAATGAAGACGGGCATACGCCATACAGTGTGCTGTGAGGGAAATTTTTCCCGGACAGCGGCACTACGGCCTATTCTTATATCGAATTCCAACTGTCAAGGGATCTTTTACGTGGACGCCAATGTGTACACGGGACCTCGGTTTTTTGTCTCATCCGAATGACTAGACAGCTGTCTTTTTCAGACCCTCCGTCCTGCATCATTGACGACGGGGAACCACGTCGGAAAATCTGGGTGAACGTTCTCGGCCATTGCACCGTGATCCCCGGGTGCGCATGGAATCGTAAGGTATGTCATTGAGTCAAGTGGCGCGGTTTCGAATCCCGCTTATACGTGACACAGAGTAAGGTCACTTGTCCAACCTCGTGGTTTTTATTCGGGTCCTCCGGTTTCCTCCCACTGCTGAAGTCCCCCTCTCGCAAACGAATTATTGAAATAAAATTGAACTCTCTCTCTCTCTCTCTCTCTTTCTCCGTGCTATTCTGGACGTGTCAATTGTTGGTCGAGATGAGAACACAATATATAAAAAAAACATATGTTAGTCCCGAAATGACCTAGTTGTGTCGAGTGGACGTTAAGCCCCATTTCTCTCTCTCTCTCTCTCCCTAAATCAAATACCATTATCCCGTAGAAGACGCTAGCACGCTATCCTTTAGGTCGCGGGTTCGATCCAATTCCTGTCTCTACGCCCGACTCCAACCCTATACACACCCGCCACAAAAAGACAGGTCAACACCTGGTAATATCCGGCTTCAAAACTGATTTGTAGTTGACCATAGACGTTTTGTTGAGATACACAAACTGGAAGTAGAATGTTAGTAAACAAATTACACAAAGCTATCCGCCTTACATATAAAATACATAAGCTGGCTTAAAATGAACATGCTAAGCAAAGAGTGAACGTAACACGGCGCTTTAGTTTTAGCATGGTAAAGATCAGACCACTTTTCCCTAAAAAATCTCGCTAACACTACTAGCTAAAGGTACCGAAGGAGACAATGAAAAATGTTCGCAACCCCGAAGGATATAGCGAAAAATATTCGTAGCCCTGTAGATAATTTCTAGTAAAACTATACGGAATACAATCTTGGACACTGAAATGATTACAAACAAAAGAAATAACTATGCAACAGTTCGATTCTATATTTTATGTCAAGTACTGGATACATAGGTTACAAGCATAGATTATAATAAAGTCATTCTCTACTTTCTCAACCCCAACATTTGGCAGAATGAGTCTACTGGCTGGTGCACTATATCATATGACTCTCCTACGGGGGCACTCTAATCCAGATGGCGACTTTTTGAACCTCAACGGTCTCGCCCAACATTAACATCTCTCTCAATGCGTGTTTCTTCTCTAAGAAAATCGCCCACAACTCTAATGGTTTGCTACCCTTGGGTTTCGACTATCTATTATTTAATTGGCCAAATATGACGTAATTAATTATAATGATTGGCTCTCATGCTTAATGACGTGAGTACTATTCGTAAATGGACAGTAGGAGTATTCCTCTTATGAGTCTTCCAGACAATAGAATTTATCCTTGGTCAATATTTATTGACCCCCGTGTGCTGTTATTCTCACAATATTTCACAAACAAACTTATACCATAGCTAATATTTTGACAATGGGGAATAATTAATTAGTCAAGGTCATAAGATTATTTTACATATGTGTTCTTTTGCACAAATCTCGCCATAATAGTACTACATATACTGTGAAAGGCTAAAAATTGCTGTGCTTATTCCAGTGTAAGGTATAATAACGCTAAGCCAGTGGTTCTCAACATTTTTTTGCCAATGGCACACCTTGAAACACGTCAAAAAATAGCTGCCTGCCTGGCTAAGTATATATGAAAAATATTTGAATTTTGCAAAATAAAAACACGGCAAGCCAGAGACGGTATACAACCATAGGCACAAACTAGTCGTAGACACATCGACTGATCAAAACTAAATAAAGAAAAACACAGCTATGAACTTACTTTATTGCAGTATTTCGAATTTCATCTGTCAAATAACTAGCTGCTTTAGTGAGAAATATTTTTAGTGTGAAGTTCAAAATTTCGCGGCACACTTAGGAATCACCGCGCTAAGCATGCGCTAGGCATAGGCCTACGTTAAAGACGCGAGTTACGCTAAGACATACGTTACATAAGTGTTACTGGTTATGAAAGTGTAGCGTAGGGGCCTACACCTTGGCGTATGCCCGACGAGTTGATGACGTATTTAATGTACAGCTAGCGTAGCGTATGATTGACGTATGGCCAGCGTATCCTCAACAAATTGAAAGGTTTTTTGACAAAGCGTATATAGTGGCTCCCATTTCAAGATCTTCTTTAATGTAAAAAGGCCGAAGCTTAATTTGCACTTTGTCAGGTGATAGCGTCGATAGCGATACGCTGGACATGCGTATTTCATACGCTTATCATAAGCTAGAAAAATACGCTGACAGGCCTACGCTGGTCACACGTTGACCATATGTAGGCTATAGACTACCTCTACGCTACTCACAGGTTCCATACGGTAAAGGGGGGTTGGATGGCTGAATGGTTAGCGTGCGCGCGCTGTATCATAAAGTCTGTCATTGAGTCGACTGGCGTGGTTTCGAATCCCCGGTTGTACGTGGCAAGGAGTAGGGTCGCCTGTCCAGCCTCGTGGGTTTTCTCCGGGTCCTCCGGTTTCCTCCCACTGCTAAAGACCCCTACGCGCAAGCGAATTATTGAAATAAAATTAAACCATATGTTAGTCCCGAAATGACCTAGTTTGTTTCGAGTGGACGTTAAACCCCATTTCTCTCTCTCTCCATACGGTAAGAAAACGAATACTTCTTTATGTTTCAAGGGGAGTTTCGATGTAATCCCAAAACAAGGGAGATAAATGACATTAACAATGTGGAAGAAGACACCAAATTAACGTTACGGACTAGCATTAACAGATTAGCATGTGTATAATGTCCTGCCCCACACCGAGTATCTTAATACATTCAGTTGTCCTATAAATTATAATACATGAAGAATAGTAAATCATATATATAGCGGCATTATTTACATGTACTCTACCTCGGCTAATAAATACTTTCATACCGTGATTTACATAACATTTACAAACATTGTTTTAATAAGTACATTAGCTTATCGTGACGTAAACATGTCAGGACGGTGATTAAACGATCAGTGGAGCGGGATTGGGTGAGGCTTAAAGATGCGCTAAAACACTTCTAAATACTGGGTGGTGGTTTATGTGTGTCTGTGTGTGGTGGTGGTCTGTCAATTGCCAAGGGTGCCTTTACGTTCACGCTAATATGTACCTTGACAGAGACGTCACAAGTGAGAATATGGATTGAGCACTCCTTGTGGTTCCTCTCGATACACGCCGGGATCCCAACCCGGGTCATTCTAGTCGAGGGGCCAAGCGTAATGTCCGATTCCTCCTTAACGATACGATACTCTATTAACTTTACAATTTATTACCAACACGTAATTACATACTCCCTACGACTGAGCACGATTTCCGCATCAGTGAGACCCGGGCTGGAACAATCGTGGTACCTCTTGGCACACACAAGTCGAGGCGCCAAGCATTGTCTCCAATTCATCTTTAACGATTTCCGCATCAGTGAGACCCGGGCTTGAACAATCCTTGTGGTACCTCTTGGCACACGCACAAGTCGAGGCGGCAAGCATTGTATCCAATTCATCTTTAACGGTACTCAATTAACTTTACAATTTATTACCAATACGGAGTGAAATACTTTACATAAGACACTCCTCGCACAATACATAGACCTACTATTGCTCTTATCAACATCAAACAAAACATGGCTATTATTTATAATGATTGTTTATTCAGCATGTAAAGGAATAATTCGGGTTGACATATTTATTGAAATTACTTATTTATCGATAAATATTGATTTTATTCTTTTAAGTGTTGACGCAACCACCGAGAAACATCTAGGATCGGCGAACACGTGACGGAGTCAAACACTGAGGGTAGTCATTGTTTTCGGTTCCTGACAGGCATTGATCGATATAACATTCATCGCTCCCCACATAATTCAAATGAAATGAAATGGGGTTTAACGTCCTACTGTTCTGCCCCTAAACTGGGCTAATGTAGCTACAGACAGTGTGATATGAGGAAAATTTTGGGCAGCGGCACTATGACCTACTCTTATATCGAATTCCAACTGCCAAGGTACATAATTCAAGGTCAGATAAAAGCAAATAAAAAAAATCCCGAACCAAATTAATTTCATCTAAATCCAGAATTTTATATGATACCCGAACCTCCCCAAAACCCCGATTTTACGTATATCTCATTTAATCACCCATTACTAAGGATTCGAATCACAGATTCCCACATTACCTCATATAATTGTATATTTATTCCCACTAAATTCCACATAATAATAGATTTAAACTAAATCATCTATTTTCACAGAACAAACCAATCCCCTATATTCACAGATTATGACCCAATCCACTATATTCACAGATTAATACCCAATCCCCAATATTCCCAGATTATAACCCAAGCCCGCCCTATATTCACATATTTTAACCCAATCCCCTATATTCCCAGATTTTAACCTAATCCCCTATATTCCCAGATTTTAACCTAATCCCCTAAATTCCCAGATTACAACCCAATCCCCTATATTCCCAGATTATAGCCCAATCCCCTATATTCCCAGATTATAGCCCAATCCCCTATATTCACAGATTATAGCCCAATCCCCGATATTCACAGATTAATACCCAATTCCTTATGTTGTTGTGGATTGTTTTTGTTCTTTGGGATTTTTTTTTAGAGATAAAAGTACTTTTGTTTTGCATGTGTATGGTATTATACAGTATTTTATATTATTTTGTCACTTTGGGGCTTTACCCCCTTTTTATTTGATTTTCGCGACATAGGCCAACAATTTGAAATATTTATTAGTTATTACCACGTCATGCACCGACAAGGTAGTGTGTATTTATTTTTGCTAGATGAAAAGTATTTAAGGAATGAGCAAGACTGTATAGAATAATAGGCTACCAATATGAGGTGTTTACTGTTGCTCACAACTTGTTTCACTGTCACAGGTAAGTGATATGGGCAGAGTATGTTCACTGTATTTGATACAACATGTATCAAATCTAATTCGAGAACGATATATATAGAGAGAGGGAAATTGGGTTTAACGTCCGGTCGACACAAACTAGGTCAATTCGGGACTAACATATGGTTCAATTTCATTTCAATAATTGGTTAGCGCGTAAGGTTCTTTAGCAGTTCCGTCTTAAACAGACATTATGCAAGAGGTAAATCTGCCTATTGCAGGACCTTCTTTAGGCCTTAAATGTTATATAAATTATTAGTTAGACATTTATTAACAAAACAAGACCATAATCATCTCTCGATGCCATCGGATATATCCGATTTTAAGAAGATTTGAATACGTTTTGCGGTTAATAAAATAATGGTAAAACTTGATAATCGGGACTTTGTTTATTATCGTAATAACCGTAGCAATGACAGTCGATGCTATTGTGTTATTGTATCGCCGATATCTCAGCCCAGAATGAAGTAATTTGACTGAACGTTTCAATATATTCCATTTTCATTATCTATTTTAACCTATTAGAGCGAAAAATTTCTGCTCTTAATCTAAAGCTCACATAATGCCGCTTTAATACACCCCTTTGGTAAAAATTTCAATTATACATAAAATATTTTTTTTTATGAAATCATTTACATTGTTTTGGCTACGATGTCTAGAATATGAATTTCTATAAAATACCTTCGGGTGCCATCGACAAAAACGCTATTGTGGTCATAAGCAGGACATACGTTAATGCATGTTTAAAAAAGCTGATCCACTATGTTTCAGCTTGCTCATTATATGTACACTTTCCAAATGGAGGGGTTGACAAGACAATAATATAGTTGGTTGGAACAAATTATTATGTAGAGCCCTACCTTGTTCAAGACAACAACCTGTATAACATCAATAGGCTATACTAAATAGTAGCCTATTATTATATATATATTTACCTGGGCGTTATTGTTCTATTATTATGTCATGAAATTTTTCTAAGGGGGTGTAAATGATCATGTTATTCGTTCGTTCGTTTCTGGGGTTTTACGTCCACTTCATGTTATAAGGTTTAATTGTTTTTATGTACTTGAAAATGTTGAATTACAGTTCTGGTCGTTATTGAAAATGATTAATTATCGTTCTGGATGTAATTGAAAATGATTAATGACAGTTCTGAATGTAATTGATAATGATTAATGACAGTTCTGGATGTAATTGTATTTTATTATTTACAGCTCTGGGTTTAATTGTATATTATTGTTTACAGTTCTGGTATAATTTAAAATTATTATTTACAGTTCTGGGTTTTGACTGCGCTAATCAAGACGATGGAATCTATGAAATCGGTTGCAAGTCCTTTGTAAGATGTAAAGATGGCGAAGGTGAAACTGTTGAATGTGAAGAAGGACTCGTCTTTAATCCAGCTATTGGAGATTGTGACGAGTAAGTTATATGGCTGATGTGGATACTTAATTATTTCTAGAGTTTTGATAATCCGGGTGGCGGTAGCCATTGCATAGAGGGTGGTCACTATACATGAAGGGGTCCCCTCTCAAACAGCCGTGGATGGGTAAGCGGGGGTGGTTCCAATGGTTAGGGCGTATGCGTTGTACCATAAGGTTTGTTATTTGAGTGTGATTTCGATTCCCCGGGTGACAAAGAGTAGAGTCGCCTGTCCCGGTTTCCTCCCACTGCTAAAGACCCCTACGCGCAAGCGAATTATGGAAATAAAATTAAACCATATGTTAGTCCCGAAATGACCTAGTTTGTGTAGAGTGGACGTTACTCTCTCTCTCTCTCTCTCTCTCTCTCTCTCTCGACCAGCTTTAGATAATAGGATTGCCTATTCCGACGCCTGGGATGATTACTTCAACATTATGAACACAAGACAAGACACCAAGACAGTATTCGTGGACTACAAAGAGTAAAATACAGCGACTGACTCAATGAAATGAATAATATATACAAATTGTGATTTTTTTTCCAGTCCATCAAACGTTGCTTCGCCTTGCGGAAATTTGATTGACTGTTCAGACAAACCGGACGGACATTATCCAGATTTAGACCAGAACTGTCATTCCTATTACACATGTCAGGGTGGAGAATTCTTCGGACATAATTTCTGTCCTGATGGTACGTATCTTCAGCATACTCTGCTTTCGGTCCAGGGTAAGACGCTGGTTCGCTAGCCTGGAGGTCGGGTTTTCGATCCCTGCATTGGCCGAGAAAGTTCATCCAGAGTTTCCGACGTGGTCCCCCCTTGTCAGTGATGCAGGACGGACGGCATGACAAGGACAGTTGTCTAGTCGTTCGGATGGGACGAAAAACCGAGGTCCCGTGTACACATTGGCGTTTACGCAAAAGATATCTTGACAGTTTGAATTCGATATAAGAGTAGGCCGTAGTGAGGCAGTCAGGGAAAAATTTACCTCATAGCACACTGTATGGCATGTTGGCATATGCCCGTCTTCATTAGCCCATTTCCTTCCATTACACTTTAAAGCGATAATTTCATATGTTCTAAGAAAGTCAAAACATATTTATTTCTATGTCTTTTGCTCAATAGGTTGTCAACTCACTATTATCTGATTATAGGTATTATTCTCCCTCTTAAAAATCCTTTGAGCCCGGAAATAATAACACAATTACCTCCCTTGTTTTTCTATTCACCCCATGGAATAGCTATCTTCAAACGTTTGAATTTAAAGTTGAAAATGATATTTTTGCCAATTTCTCAACTGGCAATAGTGAATTATAGGATTAATAGGATTATTCTTTAACAACGTAGGACTGTTTATAGATACCATCTATTTTAAGGCTTTATTTTAATAAATTTTAAAAATATAACTTAAAAATATGAAATTGCAGCTTTAAACCCCATTACCACATTGACCCGGTTTCTATCCGATAAGTCTGGGTTAGTCGAGAACCTGTCTTGAGATTGTCCAGTCGGGTCTCCAAATGCCAGTGATGCTGGGCCGAGGAAACATGAGAGAAGGCGTCTAGTCTTTCGGGTCGGACGAAAATCAAATCTCCATCCGTGAACTCTTTGAACTCTTGACAGTTGTCCGGACAAAGTGTCCCTCAAAGCAGAGTGAAGTCTTATTCTGCTTCCGTGTGTCAAAAATCGAAAATATATAACAGGTCACAAGAAAAACACACCAAATATTCTACAGAAAACCAAATTAAGTAGTTAGTTTTCACATATTTTAGCATTAGTCAATTATCATATTACTATATCTTTATGTATTAACGCCATCTATCTTTATGTATAACGCCATCTATCTTTATGTATAACGTCATCTATCTTTATGTATAACGTCATATATCTTTATGTATAATTTATAATGCAACATATTAATATATCTATACGTATTAATTTATTTTTTATGTATAACGCAACCTATTACAAGATCTTATTGTATTATTATTAATCGTTGTATTATAGATCTGGTATTTAACGAAGAAATTGGTACATGTGACTGGGAAATTAATGTTTATGAACCATGTGGCCTGTTACCTCGTCCACCTACAGAGAAATATTAAAATATTTGCTGTAATTAGTTTTCTAGTTGTACATTTTCCCCCGTCATGCTAACACCATTCATGGTAGAATTGAAGCTTACACTCCCTTTCATCTTGTTTATAGTTAATTTGTAACCCGAAACAACTGTTAATGGCTGGAATCAGCCGTTCAAGTCAGCGACTTGAAATGAAATGAAATGTGGTTTAACGTCCTACTGTTCTGCTCCGACTGGGCTAATGAAGACGGACATACGCTATACAGTGTGCTATGAGGGACATTTTGCCCGGGCAGCGGCACTATCGCCTACTCTTATATCGAATTACAACTGCCAAGGGGTCTTTTACGTGTACGCCAGTGTACACGGGACCTTGGGTTTTCGTCCCACCCGAACGACTAGACAGCTGTCCTTATCAGGCCATCCGTCCAGAACCACTGACAAGGGGAAACCATGCGAGTGAGACGTTGGCTCGCTAACCTGGACAGGCGATACGTTTCAAGTCAGTAGCTTGAAGCGTATATATGGTATTAGTGTCAGTGGCCTGTGGCACGAAGTAACAGTATATTGTCGCATACATAATATATTATGTCAACGCTTGGGCGATATAATATATTATGTCAACGCTTGGGCGATATAATATATTATGTCAACGCTTGGAACTAGGATGGAGGTGACTAGGCATGAACTTGCAACGATAGATTTAATTGGCGCTTTGATAACCAATGAATGCTTTGGAGACATATTTTGGCGGTATTTTCCATCATGGAATCGGTAAGTTTCGATTGTTTTTTTCTTTTCTGTTTTTTCTCTCTTTTCTGTGTCCTAACCCTAACCCTAACCCTAACCCTAATCCGAAAGAAAAGTGCCCTTTTTTGAAATTCTGACATCACAGGTGCCCTTTTTCTGATAAGGATGCCCTCTTTTATTTACAGGGACACTTTCTATTGTTAAGGGGGTGGACCGGTCCCCATGGTCCAAAACCTGGATCCGCTCTGATGACGCGTACATTCCACTGAGTCTACAGGTCTAATATGCTAACACGCTTGGAGCGTCAACACAATATATTATGTCGCCCAAGCGTTGACATAATATATTATGTATGCGACAATATACTGTTACTTCGTGCCACAAGCCACTGACACTAATACCATATATACGCTTCAAGCTACTGACTTGAAACGTGCAGGGTGACCTGGAGGTCCCGATCCTAGTGTTGGAAGGGAAGGTTTATGGGGATTTTCCGTCGTGGTTTCCTCTTGTCAGTGGAGCAGGACAGAGGGCCTGACAAGGGACAGAGTATGTTCATCGTCTTCACCTTTCTTCTTAAAAACGCCTGTAGTTCAGAATCCAAAAGCGAACAGTCCGTAGTCGTTCGGATGGCACAAAAACCTGAATTCCCGTGTACACATTGACGTGCACGTAAAAGAACCTAGAAGTGTACTCTGACGATTAACCCGGAAGTCGGCGCCACAGAATTCCTTTTTTCAAGGGCTTTATTTTCAAACGACTAGACAATATTTGTTGTTGGAATACAACTAGTAGTTCAAGTGATGTAGGAACTACACTGCAGTGAATCAGTGTTGATCTAGATCAAGATCCAGAGAGAGAGAGAGAGAGAGAGATGGGATTTAACGTCCACTCGACGAAAACTAGGTGATTTCGTGATGAACATATTTTATTTCGATAATTCGCTTGCGCGTAGTGGTCTATAGCAGTGGGAGGAAACCGGAGAACAAGTATAAAACCCACGAGGTTGGACAGGCGACCTTATTGATCCAATGATAGACTTTATGATCTAATGCGCACACGTTATAGCATTCGCCCACCTAGCCTCCGCGAGGTATGAAGAAAGAAAGATATCCTTTGAACAAATAACATAAAATATAACACCAATTACTAGAATTTATTGTCAAAATCGAATCATCCCAACGATATGCGAATAGAAACCATGTCTGTGGTGATGGATTGGTTCCTCATGGTCTGGGTAATATTCCACATGGTTCATAAACATTATGTTCCCAATCACAAACACCTACTTCCTCGTTGTACACCAAACCTGAAGAGACAACGTAAACTTGTTTAAATTATTTAAGTTATAGAAACTAAAAGACGGGAAAATGTCAATAAATGGGAGAGTCTTTATTAACTAAATTCTAAACCATAAACCTATTCAAGATTCCAGATAGATAAATTCCTCCTATGCAAATGACCCCACAACCGGCATGATTTCCTCTAAAACCGACCGGAACTCCAGGCCAGTCTGATCTCCTCTCCAACCGACCGGAGCTCACGGCCAGTCTGATCTCCTCTCCAACCGACCGGAGCTCACGGCCAGTCTGATCTCCTCTCCAACAGACCGGAGCATCCCACCAGTCGGATCTGCTCTCCAACCGACCGGAGCTCACGGCCAGTCTGATCTCCTCTCCAACAGACCGGAGCATCCCACCAGTCGGATCTGCTCACCAACCGACCGGAGCTCACGGCCAGTCTGATCTCCTCTCCAACAGACCGGAGCATCCCACCAGTCGGATCTGCTCTCCATCCGACCGGTGCTCCTCGCCAGCCTGATCCCCTCCCCAGCCGACATGAGCTGCCACCAAACCGACATGAGCCCCCCATCGCCTCCACAACCGGCTAGACAATGGATTTTAACTAGTAATACGGAATGACAAGTCGAGTCACAGAGTAAAGGAATGTTAAAAGTCTTCTGTAACAATCCCAAAACTATTAACGATGCTGCATCATGCACGATTTAGATAGAGCGCTCTCCATTCTTGTTATAATATTTCAAGAACAGATAATGCAAAATGAGTATACTGAAAATTACATTCAAATTACTTTATTCTTTGTAGTTTTGACAAGATGTGTGCATTATCGTTACCACGGTACTCGTATATTCGAGACTTAGACTTGCTCCTCCATTTTGAAATTAAATCATTAAATTGCCGTTCTAATCTAGTTAAATTCTTGAGCATGCAATGGCATCGAGGGTTGATTTTGGTCTAGTCATGTTAATAAATGTCTAATTAATAATTTATATAACATTTAAGGCCTAAAGAAAGACCTGCATATTGGCCAATTGGGATCTTGCATAATCGACTTTGATTGCATGACCTGAACGACATGGGTAACAATATCCACAGCAATGAAATCCGACAATGGTGACCTCATACTTGACATATATAACACAAAGACTGACTAGCGACACAAACTATGTCATTTCGGGACTAACATGATAATATGGTCAATTTTATTACAATAATACGCTTTCGCGTACGGGTCTTTAGCAGTGGGAGGAAACTGGAGGACCCTGAGACAACCCACGAGGTTGGACAGGCGGCCCTATTACTTGTCACGTACAACCGGGGAATGGAAACCACGCTAGGTGACAGACTAACTAGCTAGATAAAAAAATAGTCCACTTACCAACCGGACAGAAATTATGTCCAAGGAAGACCCCACCATTGCAAGTGTAGTATGAATGACAACCCAAACCGATATCGGCATAATGTCCGTCGGGTGTAAGTGAACAATCAATTATATGACCACAAGGTGGCGCCACATTCTTGGGACTGAAACAAACAAAAACCACCATGAAATATAGAAATGAACGTATTTGGTGGAACACGGTGGAAGTCAATGTATCAAGATAGAAGGTAAACGTTAAATGAAATAGGGTATAACTTCTCACTGTCCTATACCATCCGGGATAAAGACGAAATGCTATGAGGTGGAATTTGGCCTGGAGAGTGGCGTTTCGGCCTACTCTTCGTCAAAATCCAACTGCCAAGGGATCTGTTATGTTCACAGGATCTCGGTTTGCATTACCATCTGAACCACTCAAGGGCGGATCCAGAGACCATGAATAGGTGGGGTGGGGACATGGGAGGCGCCTAAGGCGTAAAGCGCACAACTGGGGTCTAGGTGCCCTCCCCCGGAAAATTTCGAAAACTAGAAGTCCGGAAATGCCATTTCAAGCCAGTGACATGAGAACAGATTCCGATTCTAAAGTAAGTCCACCTGATCGAGAGGGGGGTGGGTGTGTGGGAGGGGGGTATGAGATGGTGGCAATAGTTTATAAAACATACTTATGGGAAAACAATTACTAAATTTATTTGGGCGACGTTGCTCTCAACGTTCCTAAGCAAGTGCGGTAGTAAATATATATAGTTTTCCTGCATATTGGTTATTGTACTTGTCTGTAAATGTTTGAGCGAACACTCCTCAAATTCCCCCCCCCCCCCCCGCGAAAAAAAAATGAAGTAATTATACTTCCATAAGTCCCACACCGAAATCCCAATATAAATAGATAACACATATTAATTAATTGCACAGTTATTTTTTTTCCATTTTCAAAAGGATCGAGCAATCAAACTGATTATGTATACTTAGTCTAAGCATAAATTGTTCACGACCAACCTCAGTAAAGGTTTTGCAGTTCGTGGTAGCGAAACTATACACCAAGTTTAATCAGTCTCCATCAGTTAGAATCGTGTCCTAAAGCATCGACCAATGAAATTGCTTAGCTCTGCTTAGCTTTAGCGGGAAATGTTAATTAATCATTAAACTCAGTCAAAGCATTCACCTAATGAACATCTACATCAAGTTTAAACACTCTACCTCAATTAAAAGCAGAGTTGTTATGTTCCAAGGTCTTGACCAATTAAATTGCAGAAAATTCTTATCACCCAACTTACTTATCTGTTCCAAAGTCTCAACCAATTAAATTGCTTATCTCTGATAAGCCTTAGTGAAAAATGTTCATGATCGAACTCTGTCAACGCATTCGCCTGATAAACAAGTTGATTGAATTGACAAGTATATTGTTTTGTAATACGTACTCATCACAATCTTCAATAAGTGGATTATAAACTTCATCTATACCACATTCAACTACTGTTGCTGTTCCATTAGTACATCTTGTAAATACTTTACATCCTGGTTCATACACACCATCCGGTTTATCATCACAAAACATCACCGCTTCTAAAATTAAAGAATTACTAAAGGCGTTTTTACGAGAAACCGATTATTTGCAAATCCTTTTCAAACACGGAGGGTTGGATTGCCGAATGGTTAGCACGTGCGCGGTATATCATAAGGTCTGCCATTGAATCAACTGGCGTACGTGACCTCGTGTGTTTTCTCCGGGTCCTCCGGTTTCCTCCCACTGGTAAAGACCCCTACGCGAAAGCGAATTATTGAAATAAAATTGACTAAATGCTAGTCCCGAAATGACCTAGTTTGTGTCGTGTTAACGTTACCCTCTCTCTCTCTCTCTCTCTCTCTCTCTTCAAACCCAATTAGCTTTATCGGTTTCACCTAATTGTCGTATTTACCACGATGATTTGCCAAATCAATTATGCAAATCTTCCAACTTGCTCACCTGCCGGATTGACGATTCGATTTCCAAGATGGCGCCCCTCAAGCGACACGACATGCCCGACGTTAGTTCATTTTCTATTGAATTTCACGTTAAGATAAGCTGACATTCCTAATACGAATACGGGACATGTGGGAACATTTAATTTCTCGTTTTTATTTATGGCGGGGTTTTCAAGAAAATAATAAAGAAAAATGAATTTTTTAACATTTTTCCTCAATTCTTCCGTCTTCAGCCATCTTGCGAGGCAACTCGTCGCGTTTGTGAGAACCGATTTGAATACCAACTCGAGACTCGAGACCTACGTAAAATGCAGATCTACATTTAGTTTCGTTTTTTTTTTATACTTTCGATGGCATATCCTACATAAAAATCTGACCGGTTGTAGTGGAAGGTCGCGTTAGGGATCTATGACGACAGACATTGATTAATCAATCAGCGTTGACTTTTCTAGTTGTTTACCCACAGTTCCGTGCATCGCATGCCAAGAACTCACCGTAACCTACCGTTTCATTTGGCTAATCGCTCACTTCAACCAGAACGCGAGTTATATAACAACTCTTCCAGATCTTAATGTAGTAAAGAGAAGTAAAACAAAATTTTGTACTATAAAAGAACGAAACGAAATAGGATCTGTGTTTTAAGCAGACTGAGCCTGGTACAACGTTTGTTTAGTTCATCTTTTGTATTAAAATGTTTCTTGTCGACGTATGACACATAGTAAGAAATGAATATTCCATCTGATTAAAACACAGATCCTATTTCGTTTCGTTTTTATAGTTCAAAATGTAGTTTTACTGCATTAGGATCTGGAAAAGTTGTTATGTTATTGGCGTTCTGGTTGAAGTGAGGCATTAGCCAATGCAACGATCTGTTACGGCGAGTTCTTGACGTGAGATGCACGGAACTGTGGGTAAACCACTACACACGTCATCGCTGATTGATTTATCATGTCTGACGTCATAGGGTCAAAAGCCGCTCGTACGACCCCTGATGTGACCTTCCTGTACAACTGGTCAGATCTTCATGTAGTGTAGGCCATCGAAAGTATAAAAAACAATCGGAATATAGATCTGCATTTAAATCAGATTACAAATATTTATAGAATTATCAATAGTTCTTACCTGCTGAGACACATAATAAAGCTAAAAACGGTAACAATAGGCACCTCATGGTTAATGGTCTTCTATGTTCAAACGACAATATGATTGTGAGTCTTTCATTTGCAGATTACGTAATAAATAGATTTCCAAGATGGCGCCCCACTCCCAGATTACGTAATGAATAGATGTTTAAAAAAATACATCATAATCTTTGCCGGGTTTATTTACAAACTCATAAATATATCATGATTTCTAGCCTACTGTCTTCGAAAAACGTTTGGGTTATTGGGTAAATGAATAAACAGTTTAAATCAAAGATACATTATGTAAGATTAAGATAAAGAGCTGTCCGTTCTGGCTATAATAGTTCACAAATAGATAATGTAAAATGAATATAATAAAAGTAACATTTTATTAAGTAACGTTATCTATGTCTGACTAAATGTGTGCATTGTTATCTTAACCACCGTACAGACTGTTCGAGACTTAGTCGCGCTTACCCAGTTTTAAATTAAATCATTAAATGGCCAAATCGTTCTAATCTACTTAAAATCAGAGCCATAAGATGACGTAGACAATTGATTACGGTCCTCTCGTGTTAATATATGTCTAATTCATATTATAACATTTAAGGCCATAAAGAAAGACCTGCAATAGGCAGATTTAGCTCAAATCTCTAAGCTGACAGGACTGTATATAGGGTTTGGCCCTTTACGGATGAGGGGGTGAGTCGAATCGTGACGTAACCAGACACGAAAAGAGTGTTTCCACTGGTGAGTTTTGTTTTCAGTCACGTTGTGGAAGCAACACCCGGGTTCCAATTGCAACGGGTGTTCCTCTTCTTTATTTTGGAAGCAAAATTTCTCTCATAGCACCGTGTATGGCGTATGCCCGTCTTCATTAGCCCAGTTCGGAGCAGAACAGTAGGACGCTGAACCCCATTTCATTTCGTTTCATTTTGAAATCATATCTAAAGAAATGATTGTAATTGATTTTTAGTAGTTAATATTTACTGCGGGTTAAAATGTCAGACGCAAGAATCAACAAATTTTAATACTGTCTACAAATCTTCTTCAAAGTCCTCGGGGAAAGCTAGATTTATTAGTTAACCTGCAATGATATTATCTCGACAAACCACGCTAATACCACGCTCATTATTTATTACCGGCAGAGGGCACCATGTGACAGGTGTATTTAAATACATAATTACTGGCAAATATTGATATCTACTTTGAAGTTATGACGTCATAGTTAAACTATTTAAACTGAGATGTCGTTTCGTCTGATATATTCTCAAGGATCAGAACTCAGGGCAAGGTTTTTTTTTTAACATGAAGACTCTTGTATTTTTTCTAGTTTGTTTGCCAATAACAGGTATGTATTAAATAATATAAGTTAAACCGAAAGGTGCATCTTGTTGTTGATGTTGTTCTTAGTGTTTAACGTCCGCTTTCACCGAAGGTGATATCGCAGACAAGTTGTCTTTATTTTCATTTTAATGATTTTAGCTCACGCGCAGGGGTCTTTGCTGTCCACGAGGTTGAGAAAGCGCCCCTATCTGCAAGCCACATATCTGAATCGACCAATAACTTATAGATAAGATACATGATACTTTAAACATACATTAAGCAAGAGGTAAATCTGCTTATTGTGGGTCTTTCTTTAGGTATGAAATGTTATCTAAATTATTAATTAGACATTAATTAACTTATCCAGACCATAATCAACTCTAAATTTCATCGCTAGCCTGCGACATTTACTGGTTTAGGATCCGATTTGCTGCTCAACTTTCATTCATGATTAAATCATGAAATGGATAATCGAGACTATGTTTTGTTTATCGTACGGACTTTAGTAATGATGCTCGAGGATAGGCCGAAAATTCAATCGCTAAATTCTCGGTTCCGATTGGATCAATTTAACTGAAATTTTCAGCAAATTCCCTTTACATTATTTAGTTTTTAACTATTATAGTGAGAACTGCCAGCTCTTTATCTAATCTCCCATAATGTATCCTTAAATAATGTCCATATTTTAGTTTTTGGAACATGTTTAAGTAATGTTTACATTTTAGTTTCTGGAACATGTTCAGCTGACGTTTACATTTTAATTCTTGGAACATGTTTAGTTTATGTTTACATTTTAGTTGTTTCAAAGGGTAAATGTAAAACGAGAAACACATTTTGTTACAAACTTAAAAAATAGACTATATCATTGGACTATTTTAGGTGTGCCTTTGTGAATTTTTAAATGATACATTTAGATTCATTTTACAAATGATATGAAATAAAATGAAATGAAATGGGGATTAACGTCCTACTGTTTTGCTCCTATCTTACCATAGAACTTGCTCTATGATTTTACCGCCAAGTGTCCAATATTACAGGTTGCACTGTGATTATAGTTAGTAACCCGACCAGTGGTCTCCGCGTATTGGCCGAGAAAGTTCACCGGGATTTTCTGACGAGGTTAATTCTCCTTGTCAGTGGTGCAGGACGCAGGGCCTGACAAGGACAGTCGTCTAGTCGTTCGGATGGGACGAAATACCAAGGCCCCATGTATACATTGGCATGCAGGTAAATATCCCCTGGCAGTTGGAATTCTATATAGTGCCGCTGCCCGGGAACAGTTTCCCTCATAGCACACTGTATGGCGTATGCCCGACTTACTTAGCCCAGTCGGAGCAGAACAGTAGGACGTTAAACCCCATTTCATTTCATTTCAAACTGTAGGAGCCATACTACGCCTATTTGTCCTTAAGCGACTTTAAAACCATGTTTTTATTTCTGTAATATGTCGGGAGATTATGGTTCAATCGTTACCTTGGTCTGTTACATACACGTGACTTTAGCGAGTGGGACCTACTGGGCTGTTAATCAAGTAGCCCCCCTCCCCTCAATGAACGGAAACTAGGCTTAGAAAAATTGAAATGTTTTTAATTTATTTGTAAACAGTGTTTACCTTTGAGTGTGAGAACAGACCCGATGGAGTTTATGATGCCGGGTGTAAATCGTTTATAAAATGTGAAAATGGAAAAGGCGAGGCGTTTGAATGTGACGAACATACAGTTTATAATGCAGTAATACAGGCATGTGATGAGTAAGTAATATTTGTAAATCAGTTTCTAGTCTTTTGGGTGGGACGAAAAACCGAGGCCCAGTGTACACGTTGGCATGCACGGTAAAGCGGCTGTCTGTGCACAATTTCCATCATAGCCCATGCTTGGTGCGTGCCCGCCTTCATTAGCTCAATATTAGTAGACGTGTTCTCTCAAGATTTCTTCAAACATTTCATACACATCTGACTGATCCGTGCCAGATAAAGTTTTGGGTTGGAAATCATCTGCGCAAACAGAGATTGTTTACTTCCCGGATTCCAAAGTATTGCATGACAGGAGTGAATGAGCATGCCCACCTGGAATACCAATTATTGAACTTTAGAATGTTTTGGTTAGTTTCGTATTAACTTGATTTTTATGATAGAGCGACCGGTCGTTATTAGAAGGATGTTAAACAGTTTACAAACCATTGTGACAGTTAAATCCCCCCATGGAATATCAGACCAAATATGGTTCAGTTCCCTTCAGTATTTATAAAGAGAGGGAGAGAGAAATGGGGTTTAACGTCCACTCGACACAAACTAGGTCATTTCGGGACTAACACATGGTTCAATTATTTTATTTCAATAATTCGCTTGCGCATAGGGGTTTTTAGCAGTGGGAGGAAACCGGAGGACCCGGAGAAAACCCACGCGGTTGGACAGGCGACCCTACTCCTTGTCACGTTATTTATAAAGATGAGTCAGATCTCTTGATTGACTTCTTCTTGATCGAGTCCAAGCTGGTGGATTTTCTACCGTTGATGTTTTGATTTTGTTATCTTTAAATCTGAGCAGAGTCTAGCGTTGATTAAACCGTGAAATTGCAATTAACGAGGTGGTTGGGTGGCCAATGGTTAACGCGTGCGCGTTGGATCATAAGGTCATTGAGTCAAGTGGCATGTATGTGATTCCTCGCCTGTACGTGACAAGGAGTAGGGTCGTTTGTCCAACCTCATGGGTTTTCTCCGGTTCCTCCAGTTTTCTAAAGCCCCTACGTACAAGCATATTATTAAAATAAAATCGAATCATATGCTAGTCCCGAAATGATCTAGTTTGTGTCGAGTGGACGATAAACCCCATCTTTCTCTCTGCAAATAACGGCCAGTTGCTTTAATTATTTCTCATTTCAGTCCCAAGAATGTTGCAGCACCTTGTGGTAACATGGTTAATTGTTCAGATAAACCTGATGGACACTATCCCGATCTGGATCAAAGATGTCATTCATATTACACGTGTAATGGCGGCAGCTTCTTTGGGCATAATTTCTGTCCTTCTGGTACGTCACTTTCTATATCAGCATTATTACCGACATGCTTTGGCTGATTAGTGTGCGGGAGAACCCCGACAGTTGGAATTGCAGTAAGACTATTTTGAAACACGACTGTTCTGCCAACATTTCTCTCATAATGCACTACCTGGCGTATGCTTGTCTATAGCGGACTTAATTTAAGTAAAGAACCTCGACAGTTGGTAATCTACTAAGACAATTTTGAAACATGGCTGTTCGAGCAAAATGTTCCTAAAAATACCATGTGTAACGTATGCTCTTCTGTAGCGAATTTAATTTACTTTCGGGAGCTACGTTGGTGTGCACTTAAAATTACTCGACAGTTGGAAAATTACCCCCATAATACCCTGCATGGCGTACGTTCGTCTCCTTTATCCCGGTTGTACTTGACAAGGCGTAGGATCGCCTGTCCAATCTCGTGGGTTTTCTCCGGGTCCTCCGGTTTCCTCCCACTACAAAGACCCTTACACGCAAGCGCATTATTGAAATACAATTGAACCATATGTTAGTCCCGAAATTACCTAGTTTGTGTCGAGTGGACGTTAAACCCCATTTAACATATACCACCATACTATGAACCAGGAACTGAACACGACGTCATCGCAGCCAATTATCCAAGGAATGTAGGATTTTTTCTAAGAGCTTCGACCCAAGGAACAGCAACACGAACAACAAGATACGTAGCGCTTGGGTTCAAACATG